CCAGGCTGCAGTGGATACACAATATTCTTTTATACTCACACCCTAACAACTTTAGTTAAGAATCCTAATAAATATACCCAACACCAAAATTCACATTCTTCAACTTTACCAAGTTATCTTATGTTATCTACATGAATATGCATAACCAAACATGTGTGAGCCCTTATAATTTTACACACATTAATAGTATTCTCTGCCAAAACTTTTATACAAATCCCTAAATAATAATAACACACAATGTAAGTACATCACACTGATTTAACTGGGTTACCGATTTTATGCACTACATCGTGAATTTTTTTTTATGTAATCAGCAATGCAAGTTACAGTGATTTAACTCTGTTATCAAATTTTATTTCTTGCAAGATTCATTGGATTATGAAATTACAATAATGAGTTGCAGTGCAAAGAGAGCCACTATCATGCCTTGGCATTATGGGCAGACTAATTTAATGGCTTACAGGGTTATATCTGTTTCTATATCAACATTTTATACTTATGTGACCATATTATACCATAGTCAATTGTGTTCTTATTCTCTGTTATACAGACAAAGTTCAATAAATTCTTGTCTTTGTTGTTGTTGTTTTTTTCTTCACCTTCAGATATGTTCAGTCAACAAAACTTAAGAAATCGTAATGACACGATTGCAAATAAACCATACCCCGGCCGGGGTTGAACCCGCGGTCATAGAGTCTCAAAACTCCAGCCCGTCGCGTTAGCCACTTTGACCAGCTAGCCACAATAAGATTCACGGCTACGCTAGCCCGGAGATTCGTCTGTAAAAACTTGCATTTGTGGTCACAGAGGTGCCTGTGTAACTTTCCTATGGTGTAGAAATATACTAGTTGGATGAATCTTATTGTGGCTAGCTGGTCTAGTGGCTAACGCGACGGCTGGAGTTTTGAGAGGGCTATGAACCGCAGGTTTTAATCCGGCCGGGGGTATGTTTATTTGCAATCGTGTCATTACGATTTCTTAAGTCTGTTGACGGCAAGTGAAGGGACTTGAGCTAGAGTTCGTCACGGCCACGCTAGCTGGAGATTCGTCGTAAAAACTTGCATTTGTGTCACAGAGGTGCCTGTGCTAACTTTCCTATGGTGTAGAAATATACCTAGTTGGATGAATCTTATTGTGGCTAGCTGGTCTAGTGGCTAACGCGGGCGGCTGGAGTTTTGAGACTCTATGACCGCGGGTTCAATCCCGCCGGGGGTATGGTTTAGTCAACAAGTTAGCAGGGTTTTTTCTCCTGTCATGCCTTCATCAGAGTGATAATACATGGGATTTTGAGGAAACTGCTTCGGAGGAGGGGATAGAGAAATTGAGGAAGTTACCTACTTCAAAGATTAAGGAAATGTGTGCAATGTGGCTTAAAGTGCAAACCTTTTTTGATGAAAATCACCCTCACACAGCTATTGCAAGCTGTGCTGGTGACTATTACACTGACAATGTTGTGAAACACTTTAGGAATGTCATAAAGGAACAGGAGGTACAGGCCTCTATGGACAGTTATGTTGTGCAACAGAGGTCCAGTGACTCAAGCTGATCCTAGTGGCATTAAAAGAAGAAGGGAAGTAACCGGGAAAAGGACTCAACACCTCAAGTCCTAATGGAAGGGGATTCCCCTTCTAAACACTAACACCATCAACACTCCCCCCTCCTCCCATCCCATCAATCATCACCAGATCTTCAATAAAGGTAAGTGTCATGTAACCGTGCATGTCTTCTTCAGTTTGTGAGTATTAAAATTAATATTTCATGTGGTAAAAATTTTTTTTTTTCATACTTTGGGGTGTCAGGAACGGAATAATTTGATTTCCATTATTTCTTATGGGGAAAATTAATTCGGCTAACGATAATTTCGCCTAACGTTGAGCTCTCAGGAACGGATTAATAGCGTTAGGCGAGGGTCCACTGTATATTGAACAATCATGGTGACATCAGTTGTACTCTAGTATGATTGGCCACTCAGAAGACATAATAATTAAGCAAGATGTAATACTGTGTACTAGGGATGTATCGGATGTGAAAATTTAGATATGGCGGATGCGGATGTGTATTCAGGGTGGATAAATGGTAACACATCGACTCCCTTATTTTTCAACCGATTATGTTCATTTTTGGTGTACTATTAGAAGCTTATATCGAGTATCCTGTGCTGAAGTTTCAAACATATCGGCCAAAAAGGAAATGAAATATGCAAAATTTACGAAAAGTTACATTTGGCAGTCGGGGGTGACTCAGTGGTACTAGGAAAAGTGGTTTTGACACTTGCTGCTGATAGAACACTTCTAATTCCATCACGAAGCATGAACCAATTCTAAAATAAACCTTATCTTCATGCTAAAAAAAAATAAAGTTTCATAACTTTTTGACATTTTGGAAGATGTCAGTCTTGTTGCCCACATAAATCAAAAAATATTTGGGATACTTCAGAAAGGAACACGGCCACTAATAAAGCATCATTCTTCTATGTTTGTTGTGAAAATCAAGTCAATTCATTCATAAATAAGGATGGTCCCGGCCTAAATAGGTAAATAACTTCCGAGATATAGGCCGCAGCGTGCGGCACCCCAGGTGCCCGATAAATTTTTTTTCCCCGAAAAATTCACTTTCTTTTACACTTTTTCCGTGCCCTACGAGTGTTTATTACAGTTAACCGTTGTAAATCTTCGTTTTCTCTCATCACTGATGAGAGAATGGATCCTTTCACCTTCAGGGGATATATCGGTAAATTTTTTTCCTCTGGGGCATCATATTATGCTATATATTATTTTTTCAGGTGTACTTTTTATGTTTCTATGCTATTATTATATTGCACTATGTCATAATAGATCAATTGTGAAAGGTAAATAAGCCTTATAATTGATATTAGCGTGGGCATGCAATATTTTGTTGGCTGGAGGTGTCGGCCATTTTGTGCAATAATCCCAGGGGTACCTGATTGGTTCCTTGATCACATTATCTCCGCCTGCTCTGGCATGATCTCAGACAGTGAATTTTTATTATATTAGATATAAAGATATAAGAAAACAATAAAAATAACACGGGGGGAAAAAAAAAAATGCCACGCTTGGTACGCAAGGTGCTGTCACCATGCCTGTTATAAATGACTGTAATTCCTTTTAGGAACATCGTACAAGGATAATAATTATACCTGAGTGTAGCCAGAAAGTTCAGCTATTTTTTGGTAACAATAACTCAATTTTCATATTTTTTCGATCTTTTTTTACTCCACGCGCCGGCTGTGTGATACCCCCTTAAAATTAATATTTCATGTGGTAAAAATTTTTTTTGGTTCATACTTTGGAGTGTCAGGAACAGATTAATTTGATTTCCATTATTTCTTATGGGGAAAATTAATTCACCTAACGATAATTTCGCCTAACGTTGAGCTCTCAGGAATGGATTAATAGCGTTAGGCAAGGGTCCACTGTACCCGCTTGGACCCTTTATTGACCTTAAGAAAGCTTTTGATACAGTAGATCACAGCATCCTACTCCTCAAGCTTAATCATTACAGTATAAGAGGCCATGTGCTTGCATTTATCAAGCCCTACCTCACTAAGAGAAAGCAATACATCTGTCAGTGACACAACCTCCTCGACAAGACCCCTGGACACTGGTGTACCACAGGGTAGCATTCTTTGCCCCCTCTTTTTCCTTTTATACATCAATGATCTTCCAAGGGTATCACAACAACTTACATTTATTCTCTTTGGTGAGAACACAACTTTTGTCATCTCTCACCTAAATTTAGCCTCACTCAACATTATCGCTAACGAAGAACTCACAAAAATAGCAACCTGGTTGACCATCAATAAACTCATACTAAATATAGACCAAACCTTTTACATTATGTTTGGGAGTAGAGCAAGTGAGGACCAACTAAATATGCTTAACAACATCCTTATTGCTAAACATAATGAGGGAAAATTCCTGGGTCTGCACCTTGACAGCAACCTAAAATTCAACACCCATATCCAACACATAACAAAAAAGGTTTCTAAAACAGTTGTCATCCTCTCAAAGATATGTTACTATGTACTACACACAGCACTACTTACACAATACTACTCACTGATCTACCCATATTTGTGTCTGGGGTTCCACAACGACAAACCACCTAAAATCAATAGTAACAACAAAAAGCTGCAGTGCAAATTATCACATAATCCACTGCTAGACAACCCTCCCCCCTCACTCTTCAAAGACCTATTCCTACACATTATACAAAACATTAACTCATACTATTGTGCAACCTACATTTACAGAACAATAAATTCTAATATAAATCCCAACCTGAAACACTTTATTGGCAGTTGCAACAAGACTCACAGACACAACACTAGGCACAAAAACCTCTATGACATTCCCTGCATAAGGCTAAATCTTTTTAAAAACTCATTATACATAAAAGGGTCCAAAATCTGGATATCTCTGCCAGAAATCTCCAGAACCACTGGTTCAGCATTTTTAAAACTATATTTAGAAAACACCTCATCTCCTTAACCTATCCCAGCCCATCATAAACACATATGTAAAAACTGTACATGCATTTGCTCAATATCATGAACATTGGTAAAACCTTTTATCAGCAATATATACTTGCTCTCAATATCTGTATTCATCTCAAATATTAATCACTCCATTGTATCCACCTAAGGTTAATAATAAAAAATGTATGTCTTCTCTACAAGACTTATTAAAGTCATATAGCATGACCTAATAGAATACTCAAGTTTTTTGTATTCATTGTAACTCTTCTAATGACCATATGTACTGTTACTGCCTTATTAATCTTAAGTTAATTTTAAGTTTGCCAGAAATGCTCTGTGTATAAAGGGGTTTTTGGTATGTACACCCAACTATTATTCTACTTTGTACATACATGTATCATGTCAAAATAAAATATAATATATTATTATTATTATAAACTCCTCACACACACACTATTGATAAACTAACATTAACCTCTGATGAGTTCTGAGTGTTATTCTACTGCCAGAGCCCAGCCAGGGGTCAGGCTCATCTGGTGCTTGCCTGCTCCACCAGGATGTTACTGCTGGTGGTCCCCTGACCCACTCCATCACAGCCTGGTTGATCCAGCACCTGGTGAAGGTACTTGTCCAGTTTCCTCTTGAAGGCTTCTACACTTGTTCCAGCAGTATTTTTGGTTACATGTTGCAACAGTCTTTGTCCTCACATGTTGATACAGCAACACACAATATTCAACAGTCTGGCAACACAACAAACCATATTTAGTATTTTTTACACTAATACATGTACTTTTTTCTTTAAACCATATAATGTAATTTACATGAATTAATATACACGTAGGCACAAACGATGGCCACAAATTATGTAATGCATTTTTACCAGCTAATTGTAAGCCATATTAATTAAGATACATATTATTCAATAAGAATTCTTATGCAATTAACTACAATAAGACACCTAATGACAAATAGTCTATCACAAAAGAGACATATTATTTCGAAGTACTAGTTCAGAGATCCTCAGTTTTATAGTGACTGAATATAGAAATGTTGAAGATACAGTAAGCTACTTTAGATTACAATATAATTAAATAGGACAATATATATTACCAATTATGTATGGGTGTTGAAGGAAGAACAGGGACAGAACTGGATGAAAGCTGGTTTTGTTAGACATAACAGATTGCTGTCTCAATTATGCTAAGGAGATGGTGTTTTATAACAGCTTTGAAATGGGTGGCAGATAGAGACCCTTTCAATGCTTCAGACAGAGTTCCAGATCTTAACCCTTTGAGGGTCGACAGGCCCTCTCAGAAACTCGTTCTCAGGGTCGGCCAAATTTAAAAAAAAAAAAAAAATTTCTTATGAAAAAATAGTTTTTTTTTTTTCTAAACATTATAGGCTAAACAAAATTTTTTTACCATCAATACTTACCGAGATATGGAGGCGTGAAGTTTGCCAAAATTGAACAATATCTGGTAACATCGCCAACTGCCGTCACCCGGTATTTTTCTATTTACTTTTTTATGTACTATTTTCAATTATTTTTCAATTTTTCTTTTTCTGAGTAACTTTTATGGCCTCTGAGACCAATATGATCAGTATTTTGTAAGTTATTTCTTTTTCAATACTACACAATAAGGGCGTAAACACTGTTGTCATTATTTTGTTTATATAAAATATTTACACAAACAAACGATATGAAATGTTGTTTATTACTATTTTTCTATATTTTATATACACATATACAGTCACAGGACATGCTTCTTGAAGTTCTGCAGCCTGTGGAAGTCTTTGAAACATGGTGTCATGCACAGTGGTGTTTTACATTCCTCACACATAAAACGAGTGTCTCTGCGTTGTTGTGGGCGTTTTTTTGTATGTGCACAGACGTAGCACCTCTTCTGAGCCTTTTTCTTGAAAGCAGTAGCAGGCAGTTTTACTAGGAAGTGATCACCATGCTTCAGAGGAGCAGGTAGTTGTTGATAATTTGGTGGGCGGTCAATTGCAGGTGTTCTTCCCTGGTACTTGAATACTATTTGTCTGATGACAGACAAACAGAATTCGCCATACTGTGGTTTGTTTCTGGTCCTCGTCTTATACATATTATAAGCATTGAGCATGGAAATGTCCAGAAGATGGAAAAAGAGTTTGATGTACCACTTATAACTCTTGCGAACACAATCAGCAAACCCAATCTGCATGTCACATTTGTCCACTGAATGCATGTTGAAGGTGTAATCAATCACAGCTGCAGGTTTTGGAATGGGTTCATTGCTCTCTCTATGCTGCCTGCTACTGTCTGCCATTTCATTAGGGTGAACTGATGACAACAGTGTGACATCTCGTTTGTCATGCCACCGAAATGCCATGATGTTATTGGCATCAAACGCCTGCACCTCACCTCTACGAGTGCCAGCATCAAACCTGGGCATATGTTTCCGATTTGCACACACTGTGCCACACATCTGTCATGTTCACTCACAAAAAATCACTGAGTGAGGGGCTTGTGTACCAGTTATCCATAAATAATATATGCCCCTTACCAAGGTATGGTTCTATCATTGTTCTAACCACATCACCAGAGATGCCCAATAACTTCCTGGTATTTTGCAATGTATAACTTCCAGTGTACACAGTAATATCCAATACCAGACCACTGTAACAATCACAAAGCACAAACAACTTTATACCAAAGCGTTTCCTCTTGCTTGGTATGTACTGCTTGAAAGAGAGTCTTCCTTTGAACAGAATCAAAGACTCGTCAATTACAAGCTTCCTGAAGGGATAAAAATGCGTACTGAATTTCTCTTTCAGATACACAAACACATTCCTAATCTTATATAACCTGTCGTTTCTGTCAGGCCTGGTTTTGTCCGAGAAGTGAAGCATACGTAACATTAGCACAAATCGATTCACTGGCATTATATCACTGAAACCTGGGGTTGCAATCAGGCGGTCTATTGACCAGTATGATTTCACTTTGTGCTTATACACATGTGGCATAAGCATTATTGTGGCAAAGAAAAGATACATCTCAGCCACAGTTGCCTTCTTCCACTGGTGTAGATGTGATTTTGGTGAAAGTAATGTGTTTGCCATGGTGTACTCGTAGTATGTGTTGCTTTCCATGACAATACTTTCCATCAGGGGTTCGTCAAAGAATAACTCAAAACATTCCAGTTCAGTGGCATTGTTCCCAAGTGTACAAGATGGCCGTATTCCACTTTGGCTGTCATAAAACTGGTGGGGATTTGGAACAAAATTGACAGCTTCCTGCCAATCCCAGGTGCGGTCAGCTGGTGGGTACTGGACAATGACAGGTGGTTGTGGTTGTGGAGGTTGTGGTTGTGGAGGTTGTGGTTGTGGAGGCTGGTGTGGTGGGTGGGTGGGGGATGGTGGCCTTTGTTGTAGATCAGCTGAGGCAGCGGCGTGGGTGGCAGCATGGCCCACTGCTGGTGCCTCACCGCTGGCACCACTACCACCACGCACATTTTCCATCCCAATTGCAACAGTATCATCGTCATTTTCACTGTCTGTTCCTGTTGTACAGCCACGGGATGTACTCCGAGATGTACTCCTTCCCCTTGGAATAGCATATGGCACACTACCAGAGCGCATATATTGTCGTATATACTGACGCTTCACTGGGGAATATTACACTTCACTATCACTACTGGATCTAGTTTGAAGAGCTTGTAGTTCATATTCACTATCACTATCATCACAAATGCTCTCATCTGAGTCTGGGATTTGGGAAAATAGGAGTTTCCTCTTGGATTTTGGTACAGCTGAACGTGAACAAGACGACCCAGCACCAGAGGTGGAAGGCTGAGGGTCGTCTGGGTTTTCCTCACTATTACCGATGTTATGGTCATTAGTTTCGGTCAAAACCTCACCAAAACCTTGAAACTCATTTTCACTGGCACTTCCATCTGTATTAGAATGTCACTGGGGAACGAAAGTGCCCCAGTTCACCGAGGAGTGAGGAGCTTCTTACCGCGAGGCATGGTGGACATTGTTTACTAAGATGGCATTCCCACAATGCACCACTGGGTCCCAGATTTTTTTTCTACCACGCACACCAACCACACAGACCCATTCTCTCACATCTAGGCCTACCAGCCTTTTCCCGCGAGATTTGACTGCGCTAGAATTTATGCATACTAGTACGTCAAAAACCCCTGCGCGTAAGCCGTACTAGTACGTCCGAAACCCTCAAAGGGTTAAGGCCATTTATGAGCATTGAATTTTCATACAGGTTGAGTTGGACATGGGGGGGGGGGGATATGTCAGCTTTTTTGTGTCTTGTTGCACCTATTAAAAGGAAAAGTTTCAGAGTAAGGCTTATATTGAAAACGAATGTCCTATATACTGTAGGCACAGTAGTATGAGGGCATATTTTGTTTATTAAACAAGTTCAAGTTTTGGGGGAGTGTGTTGTCTGCCACTGGAATGGGTAATTGTTTGCACAGCAACTTTTAAGTTATTAATGATTTTAGGTAATTTTATAGATTCCCATATCCAACTCAATCCCTATGCTTCTACAATACTGTATAACACAAATATTGGGGTAGGGCCCTAATCTGACAACTCATAACATGAGCTTAACTCTGGGGTGCCGGACAGGCCAGGCTCAAGCCAACCAAAATTTCCAATAAACCTCACAACACTTTTTTTAACACACAACCCATCTCCCACTGAGGTGGGATGGCCATGAAGCTAAACATTTTCAACATCACTCAATATTACTGTCTTGCAAGAAGCATGCTAACAGTACACCTCAGATGACCCTCTAAACTGTATTATCCTCATCCTTCAGAGTGCAGGCACTGTACTTCACACTTCCAGGACTCAGATAACTGCTTTTCCTGAATCACTTCATAAATGTTGCTTTGCTCACACTCCAACAACACATCAAATCATAATAACCACTAACTCCTTAATCCTTTCTTTCAACCAGCTTGCCACCATGAAGCTCCTCCTATACTTCTGCAGATGCCCCTGACTCTCCTTCCTCCAGTGCTACAGTCTTTGGGTCTTTGATAGAAGATAAATGTCATTTTAATTCAAATATAGGTTTATGCTGAACACTATAAGGTGGATCATTAAAAAAAAATTTCAAATACCAATAAATTCTCATTCATAAATCAAGCATTTGGAATGACTAATTTGATCTTAGGATTTCAAATAAAAAATTTGAGGCTTGTAAACACACATAAGTGGGATTATGAACAGGCCCCTGACTGTCTTCAAGAAGGTGCTGGACAGGCACCTAAAGTCAATACCTGACCAACCGGGCTGTGGTTAGTACGTCAATTTATGTGCAACCAGCAGTAACAGCCTGGTTGATCAGGCTCTGATCTACCATGAGGACTGGTCACAGACCAGGCTGCAGTGGATACACAATATTCTTTTATACTCACACATAACAACTTTAGTTAAGAATCCTAATAAATATACCCAACACCAAAATGTCACATTCTTCAACTTTACCAAGTTATCTTATGTTATCATTACATGAATATGCATAACCATAACATGTGTGAGCCATTATAACTTTTACACACATTAATAGTATTCTCTGCCAAAACTTTTATACAAATCCCTAAATAATAATAACACACAATGTAAGTACATCACACTGATTTAACTGGGTTACCGATGTATGCACTTACATCGTGAATTTTTTTTTATGTAATCAGCAATGCAAGTTACAGTGATTTAACTCTGTTATCAAATTTTATTTCTTTGCAAGATTACATTGAGATTATGAAATTACAATAATGAGTTGCAGTGCAAAGAGAGCCACTATCATGCCTTGGCATTATGGGCAGACTTAATTTAATGGCTTACAGATTATATCTGTTTCTATATCAACATTTTATACTTATGTGACCATATTATACCATAGTCAATTGTGTTCATTATTCTCTGTTATACAGACAAAGTTCAATAAATTCTTGTCTTTGTTGTTGTTGTTCTTCTTCACCTTCAAGATATGTTCAGTCAACAAGACTTAAGAAATCGTAATGACACGATTGCAAATAAACCATACCCCCGGCCGGGATTGAACCCGCGGTCATAGAGTCTCAAAACTCCAGCCCGTCGCGTTAGCCACTAGACCAGCTAGCCACAATAAGATTCACGGCTACGCTAGCTGGAGATTCGTCTGTAAAAACTTGCATTTGTGGTCACAGAGGTGCCTGTGCTAACTTTCCTATGGTGTAGAAATATACCTAGTTGGATGAATCTTATTGTGGCTAGCTGGTCTAGTGGCTAACGCGACGGGCTGGAGTTTTGAGAGACTATGACCGCAGGTTCAATCCCGGCCGGGGGTATGGTTTATTTGCAATCGTGTCATTACGATTTCTTAAGTCATGTTGACGGCAGTGAAGGGACTTGAGCTAGAGTTCGTCACGGCCACGCTAGCTGGAGATTCGTCTGTAAAAACTTGCATTTGTGGTCACAGAGGTGCCTGTGCTAACTTTCCTATGGTGTAGAAATATACCTAGTTGGATGAATCTTATTGTGGCTAGCTGGTCTAGTGGCTAACGCGACGGGCTGGAGTTTTGAGACTCTATGACCGCGGGTTCAATCCCGGCCGGGGGTATGGTTCAGTCAACAAGTTAGCAGGATTTTTTCTCCTGTCAGTGCCTTCATCAGTAGTGATGTACAGTGACTAGTAGGTTGATGTCTGGTGTCACTGCAGTTGCTTGTGGTAATTAATGGTGTTCCTCTTGACACTGGAGTTTACCTGGAGAGAGTTCCGGGGGTCAACACCCCTGCGGCCTGGCCTGTGACCAGGCCTCATGGTGGATCAGGGCCTGATCAACCAGGCTGTTATTGCTGGTTGCACGTAATCCAATGTACAAACCACAGTCCGGCTGGTCAGGTACTGACTTTAGGTGCCTGTCCAGTGCCTGCTTGAAGACAGCCAGGGGTCTATGTATATTGGGATGCAGTTGAACAGTCTTGGGCCCCTGACACTTAATATGTTGTCTCTTAACGTGCTAGTGGCACCCCTGCTTTTCGTTGGGGGGATGTTGCATCATCTGCCAAGTCTTTTGCTTTCATAGGGAGTGAGTTTCATGTGCAAGTTTGGTACTAATCCCTCTAGAATTTTCCAGATGTATATAATCATGTATTTCTCCCACCTGCATTCCAGGGAGTACAGGTTCAGGAACTTCAATCGTTCCCAGTAATTGAGGTGTTTTATCTCAGTTATGCACGCCGTGAAGGTTCTCTGTACATTTTCTAGGTCAGCAATTTCACCTCACTTGAAAGGTGCTGTTAGTGTGCAGCAATATTCCAGCCTAGATAGAACAAGTGACCTGAAGAGTGTCATCATGGGCTTGGCATCCCTAGTTTTGAAGGTTCTCATTATCCATCCTGTCATTTTTTCTAGCAGATGCGATTGATACAATGTTATGGTTCTTAAAGGTGAAATCTTCTGACATAATCACTCCCAGGTCTTTGATATTAGTTTTTCTCTCTATTGTGTGGTTGGAAATTGTTTTATACTCCAATGAAATTTTAATATCCTCACGCTTACCACATCGGAATAATTGAAATTTCTCATCGTTGAACTTCATATTGTTTTCTGCAGCCCATTTAACCCTTAAACTTTCCAAACATAGATCTACATTCGCTCGCATAGCATTCCGAACGTAGAGCTATGTTTTTTTACATGCTTTCTAATGGAGAAAATCAAGGTCAGCATTACACACATAAACATAGATCTACACTTGGACAGTTTAAGGGTTAAAGATTTGGTTGATCTCCGCTTGGAGCCTTGGAGCGTCTTCAATGGAAGACACTGTCATGCAGATTTGGGTGTCATCAAAGGAAGACACGGCGCTGTGGCTTATATCCCTGTCTATGTCCGATAGGATGAGGAACGAGATGGGAGCTAGTACTGTGCCTTGTGAAACAGAGCTTTTCACCATAGCCACCTCAGACTTTACTCTGTTGACTACTATTCTTTGTGTTCTATTTGTCAGGAAATTACAGATCCATCTACCAACTTTTCCTGTTATTCCTTTATCACCCATTTTGTGCACTATTACACCATGGTCACACTTGTCGAAGGCTTTTGCAAAGTCTATATATATTACATCTGCATTCTGTTTGTCTTCTAGTGCATCCAGAACCTTGTCCTAGTGATCCAGTAGTTGGGACAGACAGGAGCGACCTGCTCTAAACCCATGCTGCCCTGGATTGTGTAACTGATGGGGATCTAGATGGGTGGTGATCCTTAGAACCCTTTCAAAGATTTTTATGATGTGGGATGTTAGCACTATCAGTCTGTAGTTCTTTGCTATTGCTTTACTGCCCTCTTTGTGGAGTGGGGGCTATGTCTGTTGTTTTTAGTAACTGTGGGATGACCCCAGTGTCAATGCTTCCTCTCCATATTTATTTTTATTTTATTTATTTTTATTTATTAATTTGAACATGATACATTGAAGTACAAAAAAATACAGTGGTTAAGTGTAACATGCCAAAGCCCCTTGTTTGCAGAGCATTATGGGCAGGCTTAAAATTAACGTAAGATTAACTAAGCAATGATATACAGTGGACCCCCGCATAACGATTACCTCCGAATGCGACCAATTATGTAAGTGTATTTATGTAAGTGCGTTTGTACATGTATGTTTGGGGGTCTGAAATGGACTAATCTACTTCACAATATTTCTTATGGGAACAAATTCGGTCAGTACTGGCACCTGAACATACTTCTGGAGTGAAAAAATATCGTTAACCGGGGGTCCACTGTATTCAGTAGTAAACATTATTGTAAACATAACAATTTAGCACAAATGAGTATTTCAAAGACAGGTCATATGGTCATTTACTGTGTTGCTGTGCATTCAGTAGAATGGAGTATTCTGTTAGGTAATGTAATTAAAAATAACAAAGTTTACTTGGGTTACAGTTAAACATTTATGAGATACAATTATTCAGTATTTATTTAGTTGTGGGTATGTGATTTTTAAGTAGAGACTTGAATTTATAAACCAACAGTGTTTCTTTTATATTCACAGGTAATGAATTCCAGAATTTTGGGCCTTTTATGTGCATTGAGTTTTTGCATAGTGTGAGATGGACACGAGGAACATCAAAGAGTGATCTGTGCCTTGTGTTATGGTCATGTGTTCTGTTGAGGTTGGTAAGGAGATGTTTGAGGGGAGGGTTTATATCAGAGTTAAGTATTCTATGTATGTAGTAGGTACAATAATAAGTATGGATGTTTTGTATGGTGAGTAGGTTTAGAATTTTGAATATTGGTGGAGTGTGCTGGCTGTAGTGGGAATTTATCATCATTCTGACTGCAGCCTTTTGTTGGGTAATTAGTGGTCTGAGATGGTTTATTGTTGTTGAGCCCCATGCACAAATTCCTAGGTGAGATAGGAGTAAATAAGTGAGTGATATAGGGCCAGGAGGGCTGACTGTGGAACATAGCACTGTATCTTCGATAGTATGCCTACGGTTCTTGGAAATTTTCTTGGAAACTTGTTGTATATGTGTTTGAAATTTGAGTCTATTATCAAGGTGGATTCCTAAGAATTTTCCCTCTGTGAGCTTTGTGATAGGTGATCCGTTTATCATTATGTTAAGTGGGACATCTGTAGCTCTGTTACCAAACTGAATGAAGCAGGTTTTGTCAATGTTGAGAGTAAGTTTGTTAGTCCTCATCCAGGTAGATATTTTCTGTAATTCGGTATTCACAGTATTGGCTAGCATGACTGGGCTCGGGTGAGAGAAGATGTATGTAGTGTCATCTGAAAATTGTGTGGGTTTGAGTAGTTGCAATGCATTTGGTAGGTCATTTATGTAAACGAGAAAGAGAAGAGGGCCAAGGACACTTCCCTGTGGGACACCAACTGTAATTGGTTGTGTGGAAGAGTTTGCTCCATTTGTGTACACATATTGGCTTCTGTTGCTGAGGTATGACTTTAGGTAGTTGAGGGAGTGCCCTCTTATACCATAGTGCAACAATTTTATGTGGAGCAAGTCATGGTCAGCTGTATCAAAAGCTCTATGTAAATCAATGAAAATCCCCAGTGGGACTTCTTTCTCTAGTGCAGTGTATAGTATTTGTTCTAGCATGTGTATAATAGCATCATTCGTATTTTTATTAGGTCTGAACCCAAACTGGCAGGGGTTGAGTGTGTTGTGGGAGATGAGGTAGGAATAGATTCGCCTATGAATTAATTTTTCAAAGATTTTAGAGAGAGGGTGTAAGCTGGATATTGCCCTATAGTTATTCGAGTCTGTTTGGTCTCCTCCTTTATGGATCGGGGTGACCCTCGCTATTTTGAGAACTGTAGGGAAGGTAGAGGATTCAATGGAATTGTTGAAGAGTGTTGCAATGATAGGTGATAGCACTTGTGACACGTTTTTGTATATAAAGGGTGGTAAGGTATTTAAATCTCCTGTCTTGTTTTTTAGTGTGTTGATAATAAGGGAGACTTCTGTTGGGTTAGTCGGAGCTAGGAACAGTGTGTTCGGGTAGTTGCCAGTGAGGTAGTCATTGGGTGGGGTATTTGAGCTTGGGATTTTATTGGCAAGGTTTTTTCCTGTGGTGGAGAAGAATTCATTGAGTCTGTTTGTTGTTTCAGTTGGTGGGAGTTGGGGTTCATCTGGTTTTGTTAGTTCAATTGTGCTATTTCATGATATCTTTTTTGATCCTAGAATTTCTGATAGGGTTTTCCAGGTCTTTTTTATATCACCTTTTAAGTTGGATAATCTGTTCTCATAATATAATTTTTTAGCCTTTCTTATCAGGCTGGTTAGGATTGACGAGTAACGTTTTGTTTGGTCTCTGGTTATGTGACCCATTCTGTACTGTTTTTCATATTGGTGCTTTGTATTAATGGATTTGAGGATGCTGGGTGTTAGCCAGGGACTGTTCAGTCTCTTAGCTGTCATCTGTTTAGTTTTTTTAGGGCAGTGCTTGTTATAGAGGTATTG